TTCAGCACTTATGCTACTTCAATTCTTTCAAAGGGTTCAGCACTTATTCATATATATATATATATATATATATATATATATATATATATATATATATATATATATATTAACGTATAATTGCCCAACCCGCCACATGCCCGCACCAGGGCGAGTCAGTGGTGCACTGGACAACACAAGTCACCAGTCGGCCTTGGTTGCTGCTTCGTCACGTACCGGTACTCGTACTTGTCGTCATTGTACTTGTCTGAGTAGAAGATGTCCTTGGCAGGCATGCTGTGTGGTGGCGCTCAGCACAAGCTGCGTTCTCACCGTGCACCACCTCCTGAGGAACCGGACCAGGGCTGCCCTGAAGAACACCTGAAAACAGTCGGTGTCTGACAGGTGTTGCTCGGAAACCGGTCACAGTCATCACGCATTATTACATGTTGCTTTGGGGATATACAAACTGTGCATGCAACGCTCCCGGGAGTACATTCCGCTTAGCAGAGGTGGGCTTCAGACGCCCCGTTAGGCCGTCCTGGAATAACTTTGGAAGCACTCGTGCACTCGCACTTGCACTTGGCAGGGATGTAGTGGCAGTTGGTGGATGTAGTGGGGGACAATTTGAAATTGAAAACGAAATTTTGACAATTGAAAAGCGGAGCTTTTGGCGTCCAAAATTTAGATGATGGATTCTGCCAAAATAAACTCTACGGAATCGTACAATCTGGTGCAACCACGGAGTGTTAGACGAAGCCATACATCTCGGAGACAGTTGCTTAGGCAACATATATGTCACTGCCCCAAAATAACCCTAGTCAACGCTTTGTTTTTAGGAATATACCACCTAGTGTAGTCCTTGAAGCTTGCAACTGCAAAACTCAAAGCAGTCCTGTATGATCCTGGTCATCATGAGCTTCTGCAGGTAAAAAGTGACTGACCTGAAATGAGCACCAGTGACCTCTTGCTTAGAACATGCATCTACGTTCAGTGATTGCATGAGAAGATCTGGGGGTATTTTGGACACCAATCTGGAGTTTGACCCTGTATAACTTCACTTGAAGCAAAGATCATGACCTAAGAACATACAACTTTGATACAGTGAGTTCATTCACAGGACAACACACCCTGTAAATTTGGTATACCTCGCGTTCTTGGTTTCTGAGATCTCAGGTGAGGGTGGTCAAACTGATCCCCATCGGAGCGAAGGGTATTCAACCGGCCACCCGGACGCATGTCAAGTTTTGTTTTGTTCATAAGCATTTTTGTGGATTAAGTTTTGAGCGTCTGCGTTAAAAACACCCGCAGAAATTTCAATTTTTAAACTTCATTTGCTCATCATGATCTACTGTAGATGTAAATGTTGCACTATGCACCGCTGAAAATCAATAAAACCTCATTACATTAGGTCACCCGGAGTCAAGGTACCAAATGTGGCACAGGGAGAGACATCGCAACGAACGTTTTATTTATTTCAATGTGGTTTGAAATCTTGGCCATATTTACCACATGTGATGCAGTTTGACGAGCGTTCAAAGTTCCAACCGTTCGTTTCGTCGTACCAAGCTCTGTTCCCGCGACTGCGCCTGGGGCTGGGCTCACGCGGACAACGCTCCATGCGTATGGCGCGATTTGACACTCACAGGTCACCGCCGCTGGAGTGTGATAACTATATCGACATCGCTGTTATGGCAATTCTGTGCACCAAAGGTCACTAAAATGCCGTTGTCTCCAATGTCATAGTACACACTTCGGAAGAGAGAAAGGGTACATATGTTCACGTTGTACCCCGCTGATCGAGATTGAGGCCCCAAGATCGCTCGCAGGGGCCTTCAACACTACTTGCCTCACTAAGTTTTGCACCATCCACCCATTGCCGATTTCCGGTCGACTCCGTTATGTCGATTTTTTAGAAAGCGGAGGATTTTAGAAAGAAACTGTCCTGCCAGAGTTGAGGCTTGCGAAAGCCCTGACAAAGTGACTTTGTCCGGTGAAGATAAACTGTAAAACAAAACTTGCAACGGCCCTGCCAGGCGATGCCCAGCATTCACCACAGGCCATCAATAACACGCAACATTACGAAATGCTGCAAATCGCTTTGAAACAGCACATCAGCTTTAAATTTGCACCATATGTTTTCTTATCCCGTAGGAGTTTCGTGCTATTGCGTACATTTGAGCCAGGCACCAACCACCGCGTGCCACCAACTTACTATCGTTGTCTTTCCTCATCCATTCGAGTCTGATGAATTACAATCAGGATTTGTTGTTGAAAAAACAAACAGAAAATAGAGAAAGAAATACTTTGCTACAGGACAACAAATTACCAAACGTTCCGGGATTGTTACAACACAAAACGAGAAACTTAAGTCGTGTCGGCCCATTGAAGGTCACATCATCATGCATGCTTTGGTATGACATGTACTGCCATGTGTACTTTCTTGATTGGTTAAAGCATCTCTTTTATCCATTCTGACAATACAAATCGAATGGTGCACAATTCATGCAGCTTTTTTTGCCCGACATGGCTTTTAAGTGATTTGATGCACGGATCTAAAATGCAGCGTGTCGAGAAAACACAATATACAGGGAAAAATATTAAAGATGCAAAGCTCTATGAAACATGCTGGTGCACAACCCTTGGCTAGGCACTTTTTAGTTTTGTATCCAGCTGTCAATGCCGTATACTTCACAACAGGTCAGAGTTCAAATGGGGAATACAGGGTAGTGTACTGGTTAACCTGGATGCCAGGGAAACCAGAGGCCTTGGACTCGATACCGCGGTACTCGCCGTTCCTGCCAGGTCAACAGGCAGGCAACACCACATATCCTCAGCAGCTGAGTGCATCACACAGCCTCAGTACAAATGACAACATGAGTTCAGGCATCCCAATCTGATTTCTGGTGCCTCAAGTCTAGGCACCAGTTCCATCTTTTTCACTGAACCAGTAAGTCTGGTCACTTCCACCAATCCGGAGTACAAGTCATCGAACATTAAGTCCCAGTCATTCAGTGGGTACACACTCAAGTCTTAAGCCTGGGTGCGAGGGTTTATTGTGTGCTTGCACAAGACCAAGGCTGCACTAATTCAACTGCCAAATGGAACATCGTGATGAACGTGGTGAACTCTGACCAACCATTGATAAATATTATGTAACCTAGCTCAAATCAATACAAGCTATTAACATCCAGCCAAACTAAACCAGAACAGACTTGACATACTCATCCTAACACAACTGAAAAGCCACAATGATGGATGACCATATGCTTTTAGGATTACCTTATTCCAAGGGTGTTTTGCTATTAAAATGTTTCCTTTACTTGTGACTGGAACCTTGAGTCATTGGGCCTACCAAAAGGGTTTCTTTCTTTTCCTAGAAAGAGCAGAACAGTTCTAATTTGGAATAGAAATAAAAAACTTCCCCTACCCCACAAACTCAAACAAATGAAAAATATCACTGTTACAGCTTATCTTCAGCCATGTCAGGAGCCAAACACCACAAAAAAATGACATACCGCATGGTAGAATGCACAGTAGAATGCACTGGGTATGTGTTATGGTCAAAACATAACAACACAATTATGTTGCAAAAAGAAAACTGGTAAAAGGAAAATTCTGTAGGTGTAAATCAGGAGAACATGCCATGCAAAGGTAATGTTTTCAACATGCATTCTTGGTAACCACAAACCTGCAACCAACTTTACATGTTATAATGCTAATGATTCTATAGAGCTACCACAGATACATAATACATTTTTTACAGCCTTGATCAGCATCAAGGGAAAAAATTGGGAACAAAGGTTAGGGATGCAAATGTTGTTTGAGTCAAATTTTGGTATGCAATGCCATAGACATTTTCTGATCGCAGACACAGAAGTTGCAGTTCCATCCCTGATTAAGTGACGTTACCACATGATTGGCAAGCCGTGCCCAATTGCGTCAAGTGAATATCTGGTGCAAACAGCATGATGTTTTCATTCTGAGATATCTCATATAAGTGTTAAAGCATTAAGGCTGAGTGTCAAACTCATTCAAAGAGAATCATGGAGTTAAACACCCATAACTTGGTTTGTGCAGATTCACCTTTGTAAAATTTTTGACTGTGCAGCCAGGAAGGCTACATACAAAACCAAGCAAAGTTCCTCCCAGTGGCTCCATCAGTTGGAGCATCTGCCTCCAAACCTATGGCAGGGTGGGGTGGGCGGGTTTGAGTCACAATGGGAGGCACACACTATTGTCCCTGACTGGGATGGCCTGTGGCCCTGGCTGCTCAACATCAGAATTTGGAAGGTGCAGCAGGATTTGCAGAGGACTGCAGCATGTCACCTTTGCCACAAACTTTTGGTGTTGAACTACACTTTCAAGATCAGATGGTGGGGTCAGGGGTTAGGCAGCAAGCCCACCTTAAGGTGGGTTCTGAACCAAGAAACCCATCCAGTCAAAATGTTTGGTTAACTTGAAAAGACATGCTTATTTCCAAAACCCATGAGGTCAACACTGTGCCCATTTGAAAACAAGAACTTATTGAGCAAATCATGTGAATTTTAACCTGCAGTAATTGTAACCCTGCAGCATGTTAATAGTCCTTACATTTAAACATGGACCATCATGAATGCAGGTAGACGGGCTACCAATAATGATGAGATATTAAGGCGGAAGATATGCTGAGAGCAATATCTTGAAATCTCATTTACATTATTCACAAAATACCTCCATGTTCATTATACTTGGGCTAATTTTCGCGTGCAAATGGCCCATGCTTCGTCATATCACCAGATCCGGTCGCAGGAGGTCCATTCACGAACGGCCAAACGAACGTTGCGTTTCCAGACAGCATCAAAAGTACAATACATGTGAACAAACACATCAAAGTCAAACTTACGCACGACGCCCAGCCTCCAGAAAACAGAACAATGCGAATATTGCTGAGAAGTGTCACAGGCGATACTTATCTCCTCACTTATTTCAAATATCCCGCCTTAAATGCAGATCCGCGCCAACTGCCTGCGAATTATGGGGACTCGAGACGGGCAAGCAGCCGAGGCGAACACTTTTTCACAAAAGTGCAGACATCGAACAGCTGATGGGAATTTAAATCCAGTACCCTGTTTGTGATTGGTCCAAAACGCTGTTCACAACTGAAAATAAGCCTTCGGGAAAAAAACAGGGATCAGAACAAAATTCATTTTGAGCATATATCAGCACTAATCTTGACAAAAGATCGCCTTAATATAGGGCTTGACAAATGTTTTTTTTTAAAAGTAGAAATCTATCACAAATTTTGGTCTGTTGCAACTGTTCGACCAGCTGATTCCCAGGGTCTACGTCATTAGACCGTACATATCACCAGCCAAGATAAGGTAATAATGACATTTCTGTCGATATATATTGATTTAAGGAGTCATGTTTTCGACCATTAATTGATTTATCTTTGCTAATTTAGCTTATAGCATAGTGGAATGTCCTCAAGAAGGCTGGTCATTACTACTTTAGTTGACCTTGTCGGGCTAAACGGCTTTAATTTTTCGAAACTCTTCTACTCTCATGGCTTCTCGGTCCTTCCACGCCACCCTCTGGCGGCATTCGACTACCTCCGCGTGCGCCTGGGCTTATACGGGAATCGGGAGCTTTGTGCTCTGGAACATTCCGACAGGTTCTGGTGAGTGCTGCATTCGGTTATTTTATATCCTCGCAGCCAGTCTGTGTGGAGACATCAGAGGGAGGGCGCGGAGGAAGGCAGCGCTTTTGACAAGGATTGTCGTGAGGTCTGAGTATTGGCAAACGAAGCATGCCCGTTTCGTAAGTAAAGACGTGTGGGTGTTAGGCTCCAGCCAGCATTAAGTGGAATTACTTTAAGGCTGGCTAGGCATCAAGCCACTTTGGCGCGTTTAGAGTTGCTGAATCGGTAGGCCACTGAAGTCTAGAGAGATAATGCGGAATCCGAAGAGCATGGTGGTAGTTCGTCTGGCTTCATTGGGTCAGGCTGATCCTGTTTGTCTTGTCATCCCTGAACTCTTTGCCAAAAACAAGGACTCAGCTACCCATCTGGGATTAAAGACATTGTGTTGCAGCCTTGCTCAGTATGATAAATTAAGCCTCATCCTACAAACAGGACTTATTTGCTCAATTGGGTCTTTTCAGGTTAACTTCTGAATGATCTTTAGCACACCGATGAAGTTTGGGTGTCATTGCTTGCATCATTTTTACAGATTTTGTAAAGATGTGATGTATCTGACATTGATGCTGCATGGTCTGTGACTTCTTCTGTTGCTCCAGTTCTGGCTGTCCTCTGTATTAGCTTGCTCTAACTAACAACTTTGTTGAGTTCATGATAAATACACTTCAAACGGGCTTTCTATGCTCTTTCTGATCTTTACAATCCCGAGATGCATCCTGACTCCTTTTGTTAGGTCATGAAACCAAAGCTCATGTTGAGTCAAATTTGGACTTACCAGATTTGTCTCTTTAAAGACAACACAGATTCAGGGTTCATGACCTGACATGACAGCACTGGTCAGTCTAGCAATAACATATCTGCTGCACTTTACATCCACACAGTATCACTGATATAGAGAAGCATTGGATTGCTTGATATACTGCTTGCATGCATCAGACCTACCAGGTAAAATTGTGCTAAATTGTAGAATAACCTTTGGTGGAGGATGTTTTGGAGTAATTTGGCAAATATTATCTTTGTGTTATAATTATCTGAAACATTGGCTCTCTGCTGCAATTGATGATGACAGTACAATGTACATGCAAATGCGGGTGCTGAGGTTTGCAGTTTACTTGCTCTGAAACTTGCTGTGATGATACTGCCACACAAGACGTGTTCAGGTTACCATGCATTTTTTTGCATACTACCTGAATCACACCAGGTCATACCTGAGCTGTATCATATGTGACATGTGTCATTATCATCTAGTCCCCACCATATAGAACCTTTCAGGATATATTCAACCCCAGGTTCCACATTCTGTAGCATGCCTGGTTCTTAAGATAACAGGAAGGGTCTAATAGGGTTAATTTGACCCCTGTGACCTGATTTTGCCTGTTAAAGATTACATGTACCATTACTTACTCATCTGTCAGCATTTACAAGAGCTTTTCAGTTTGTTTGTGGCTCCAGCTTGTTTAGCTTGATATTTGCATGCAGTAGGGGGGTGGGGGAGCAAACTTCTTATACCTCTTCACACAGCAAAAATGTCTGTAGTAATATCTTGGACACCCATTGGTTTGGGATATGCATTCTGGTCTTGGTTTCTTGGCAGAACAGTGCTGGAGTCAGTGTTATTGTGCAGCATCACTCCAAAATATGAAGTTATTTTCTTACATGTTGTGTTTCCATCTCCTTCCAGACAACATACTCATTTTCTCTTATTTTAGCATTCAACACTGTCATGCCATGACTGTCTCAGTTTTGTCAGGGGAATCAAGCAAGCACTGCTGAAGAGTTTGTTTTCCTGCATAACATTGGTGCATGTTCCCACATATGTTTGCAGTCTCACTCCCAGGGAACAGCAAAAACAGCCAAACAACCTGGCATAGATTTTATGTGGTGTCACTGAGATCATATGCCAAGTTCTCCCCAAATTCTCTTGTGCAAACCCAGTCTTGCAAGTACCAAGTGAGCCAGGACTAGTTGAGGTATTAATGAGTCACATTTTCAGTGTTGTGTGCGATGCAGGCAACCAGGCTTTAACCTGTGAAAAGTCCTATTGTTTTTTTTCTGTAGAAGGTCACATCCATTCTAACCACACAGGAAAAACAAGTGTGTGCCATAATTTATTTTGCACAAGTATGTCAGTTCAGCCCATATGAGAGGCTTTTTGAGATATGAGAGGCAGTTCAGCCTTGGAGAGGCAGTATGAGAGGCAGTTCAGCCATGGAGGGACTTTTTCATGAATCAATAGAGACTTAACATAGTTGGCACAGACAAGTTATTGATCTGATCTTTAGTTCTGTCTCTGTAATTTTGTGCTTGTGAAGTTAAACTTGTGACTGATGAACAGATTGGTAAAGCAGAGATTGGAGCAAGCACTAATGAGCTTACCCTGGCACAGTATGAAGTCTGCTCTGTAACTGTCATTGGATTTTTACCTTTGCATATATGTCTCAATATTGAAGTGACATTTTGGTCATGCCATTGGCCATTTGGGGATTTTTGGGAACAAAGATTCTTTGGATGATCATTAATATTTAGGAAGGTTATGCTATGAGAGTTGCAAAAAACTTGTTTGAGTACTACAGTGTGGGAACTTTGTCATACCAGGGATTGAAATGTGCAATTTTTAAAATTTTGAGGGTATATAATGTATTTGAATAGAAAGTTTGGTAATGTAAACAATGTTAGCATTCAGCCTGATGTTAAGAAAGTGTTGCATTCAGAGTATGTTGTGCCATCTTACTTTTGTTGCATGTGCGAAGCTCAGATAGGTTGTTTTTTGTCAAGTTTGCCTGACTGCATGGCAAGAGTACTGTGTAATCCAGTATAGTTCCCAATCAGACAATATGCAAGATTAAAGTGGTGTACACATGTCTTCAGTGGCCTATTGTATTCACAACAAATGCATGCGCCCTCCAGAAGCATGGATGAACCATTTTTGTTCCATTTCTAACATATACTGGGTGTGCATAACTCTTCTCCCCATTTCTCCATCTCTGGCTGACAATGTGCATGTTTTGCATGTTTGGCCCTGGTCAGCTGGCTACTGTTGGTCAATGTCTGATGGAAGTGTTGGCCTTGGAATGACATTTTGAGGGTGACCATTCCTCTGTTAAAGAGATCCTGCTTGAGTAATTGGGAAGTCACTGTCACTTTCAACAAGATGCCAAACTAGCGACTTCTGAAACAAAACCAATGTCACCACCGATTGTCTGAAAATGTGCCTTTCACAATTTTTTCATCAGTCAATTTCTGCCAGTGCTTGAAACAATAGTTGTTTCCATAGATTTGCTAGTGTGGCAGTAAGTCACTCCACTTTGTTAAAATAGTTAAGTAGCTCAAACAGCTTGGCTTGTCCTGCATTGCAGCAAGTGTTGGGGGATGTGTCACACCAGCTTGCTGACCAAACATGGGCTGAGTCATATATTCCCACCAGTGCCATTTTTGGCATGAAGGGGAATGTTAGCTACAGTCCATTTTGTGGCCCTATGTCTGGTTTGTTGTCATGTATTGAACAATGGGGTTTTTGATTAAAAAACCATGCTTTGAATTATAATCACAAATCAGTCCATCCTAAAATTGTACAACAGATATGTGTTATGGAAGACAGTCATTCATATTTGTGTCAGGCCACAAGACATTGAGGCCTGGGTCCTTGTGGCAGACAAATGAGAGTGCCTTCCTGGTTACAGATCTAGCACAATGGTGAAGGAAACTGGGTACTACGACATACTGGGCGTGAAGCCGTCAGCCACTAGCGATGAGCTTAAGAAGGCCTACCGGAAACTGGCGCTCAAGTACCACCCGGACAAGAACCCGTCGGAGGGCGAGCGCTTCAAGGCCATCTCGCAGGCGTACGAGGTGCTGGCTGACGAGAAGAAGCGCCAGATATATGACGAGGGCGGCGAGCAGGCCATCAAGGAGGGCGGCTCCGGCGGCGGCGGCTTCCATTCGCCCATGGACATCTTCGACATGTTCTTCGGCGGTGGCGGCGGCATGCGGAAAGAGCGAGAGAGGAGGTACGCTTCGCTTTTGACGTCCTTTGTGTGTGATGGGAGCGACTTAAACTCATTTGCCTTCCTTTTGTACATTTCTGTCATGTTTTAAGTCTGAAAAGTCATTGAGTTGCAGTTTTTCCCGTTCGTCACCTTATTCTGTTCCCATATAATCTTGACGCCCATTGCCTTAATGCTGATTTGGCTGCCAAGCCATTACTGTCATCGTGACATGCACGAATGTCTGCAGGGTTCAGCTCACTCCATAACAACCAATCATGCCTGAATTAATATTGGTTGGCATCCCGTGCTTTCACCAGCACTTCTTTGAGCAGATTGATACAGTGCATTGCTTTTGGTTGTATCAGCTATGTTAGGGGCTGAAAATTTATATAGGATGCGACTAGGCGGTCCGAGAGGCTCGGGCTATGATGAATACCGTTTGTGCACCACGTGGTACGTGCCGTTTTCCGCTGACACTGCCTTTCTTGGGCAGGGGCAAGAACGTGGTGCACCAGCTGCAGGTGACTCTGGAGGAGCTTTACAACGGCGCCACACGCAAACTGTCGCTGCAGAAGAACGTCATCTGCGACAAGTGCGACGGCCGCGGCGGCAAGAAGGGCGCCGTGGAGACGTGCCCTAACTGCCGCGGCTCGGGCATGCAGATCCGCGTGCAGCAGCTGGGGCCCGGCTTCGTCCAGCAGATCCAGTCCATGTGCGACGAATGCCGCGGACAGGGCGAGCGCATCAACCCCCGCGACCGGTGTAAACAGTGCAGCGGCAAGAAGGTACGTCCCCGGGACGGCCGGCCGCTGCATGCCGGGCGATCGGAGCGCACCGCGCCAGTGCTCAGCTGCAAGTGGTGCGCCTGTCGGCGATTGTGCCGACTGCAGAACGCTGTCGCAGCTGCGCATGGTGTGTCCTCTCGCAGCGCTCAGTGCGTCAGAGGTGCGTGCCAGGGCTTCGTTGTGCCAGTTAACGACGCGTGTGGTTGTCAGACGACCCGCACGCTCACCAACGCCGCCTGGTCTCGCTCGCAGGTGGTGCGCACGAAGAAGATCCTGGAGGTGCACATCGACAAGGGCATGACTGACGACCAGCGGATCACATTCAGCGGCGAGGGGGACCAGGAGCCGGGCCTGGAGCCGGGCGACATCATCATCGTGTTGGACGAGCGGGAGCACAGCACCTTCAAGTGAGCGCGGCCGGGGCTCGGTTGGCGCGCGCCTCGCACCGCCGGACGCTGGGCGTAGGCGCGGATGCCTTATAGATGCGCGCAGGATGGGGGTGTTGTCGCATGCCTCATGTGTCCTCTGTAAACACTGGAGTGGCGGGATTCTGGACTTTGGTTCGTCAGTTTTTATGAGTCCTGACTGTTGTTTGTTTTTGTTTGTGCTCGTGGCGAAGCTGAGGGTCAGACGATGCAGCAGACTTCACTAGGAATGCACCATGTCTGCGACTATTTTGCTAGGGACGCTGCAGACTCGCGCCGGGTTTGGCGTGCTGCCAGGTGACCACTTTTTGTAGGATTGAGATAGGAGAAAGGCTGATATTGGGGGAGGGGGGGGGGGGGGGGATGAGAAATGGATCTGTTCTGCAGTGAGTCAAAAGCCTTGTGACGCCGGAAGTGGGCGCATCGCTCCTCACTGGTTATCTTGGCATGCCTGGCGGTGCCGTGACTGACGCCGCCGGTCCCGATCGTGCACTCACGTCGTCCGCACGTGATCGCGTTCTGGCAGGCGGGACGGCGACGATCTCATCATGCACCTGGACATCGAGCTCGTGGAGGCGCTGTGCGGCTTCCAGCGGGCGATCACCACGCTCGACCAGCGCTCCCTGGTCATCACTTGCATACCGGGTAGGTGGCGCTACTGGGCCGCCGGCGTCGACCGCCCCCGGTGTGACGGGCACCGGCCCGCCACACGGAGCGGCGGCGGAGATCGGTCTGGAGGTGCTCGCCGGCGTTGTGATCAAACAGGCGCGTCAGTGACGCGGATGGGCGTTATTGGACGTTGTGATAGACCTGGCTGGGTGTGGCAACCGCAGGCTGTTCTCGCGGATTTAGCACATCACGGACCATGCGACGGGGCCGTTACCTCGATGACGGCTCCGATGCGTCTTCGCATCATGAGTCATTCGTCGTGCTAGCTTGCAATCATCTGCTGTCTTCTTTTAAGGCGCTTTCGATGCGCTGTAGCACATGATCTTGTCCACATGGTGCCTGTGCTGACGTTGCCTACCTGTTTTGCAGGCGAGGTCATAAAGCACGGTGTGATCAAGTGCATCCTGAACGAGGGCATGCCGCACTATAGGAATCCGTTCGAGAAGGGCCGGCTCATCGTCCAGTTCCTGGTGAAGTTCCCGGAGCGACTGAGCCCGGCCGTGGCCGGCCAGCTGGAGGCCCTGCTGCCGCCCAGGTAAGCGCCTCCGGCAGCTCCTCCGGTGCGGTTCCCGTTCTCGGAAGTGTGTAAGAGGATCCATTTTTGGTTGTTATTTTTTTTGCCAGCGCTCATAGGGCCGATGTAAAATTTTCGATAGTTGAGCGGGAGGCTTAGCTCACTGGCACCTGTAGTTGCGGTACCCTTGAAGCATTGTACCCGTTAGACTGATGGGGTCGAAGGCACGCACGGCGCGTGCTGCCGCAATGTGGGGACGGGTTATCGATGTGACGGGCTGTCGGCCGATGCCAGTCCTCCAGCGGTGTTGGCTGATGCGAACACCGCCGCGCCCATATCTGACAATGTAAAAGACGTCACGCTGAGATCTGCTCCAAATAATCTAATATGACCCAGGAGTCTGCGCTGTCTCCTCCCTGCCCATTCACCTGTGAAAATTGCGCGGCGCCGCGGCGCTGTTTTACAAATTGATGAGCCCGCCGGTGTTTTTGCCTGCTCGCGCTACGCTGCGTGATGCCTCCGCGCTGCCGCCACCCAGCGTACTGCGAACAGTGACGGCCACCAGCTGCTGAATCAGCTGCTGGTTTATCCCTGGCGGGATGTGGGATCGGGCCGGTATGACGTAGCTCGTCTCCACTGCCGCTACATGGCCTGGCCTAGCCTGGCCTGGCCTAGCCTGACCTGACCTGACCTGACCTGACCTGACCTGACCTGTTCCGGTGTGTCCCCAGGCCGGAGCTGCCGCTGCCTGAGGACGCCGAGATGGTGGCACTGGCCGACGTTGACCCCAAGCAGGAGAGCCGCCGCCACCACCAGGCGCACAGCAGCGCCTACGACGAGGACGAGGGCATGCACCACGGTCGCGGCGGCGGGCCCGTGCAATGTCAGACCCACTAGTGACCTGGCGCCGCCGCTACCGCCCGCCGCGCCGCCGCTTCCGCCCGCCGCCGCGCCTGTACATAGACCTGACGCTCTCCAGTGTGATACCGCCGCCGTCCGGGCGGACCGGGCGGCGGCGGAGGCCCGGCAGTCGCCCGGCTCCTTCCGCGCCGGCGCCAGCCGCTGGCGCCAAAGGCGAGCTGACCTGACCGACGCCGGCGTTGGCCGCTCCGTTCGCACAGACTGACCGCGCGCCCACACCCATCACAGCGCCGACATGCGTAATACCGTGGCCATTTCCTTTCATGCTGCTAGGTTGTTTACAGTCTTGACTGGTAGATTCTGTCGGATTTATTCGTTTTGCCTGTGTATTGTATATTGTCATATGTGAACAATAAACTGGATGGTAGACATTCATCTGAGTTTGAGAGGGTGCTCCGACGGGTGCGAACGTTTATTTCATCAGCGGCTTCGCCATGCGGGCTGGGTGCGACGAAAACTACTAAGGGAAGTGCAGTAGAAAAGTGTGATGCCAAGGACGCGTGTCGTAGAGCACCAGTAGCTCGGTATTGATGGGCAGCGCAGACAAAATCCCAGCAAAATCTACGCCTGTGAGATGATTATTGGTGGCACGAGGCCATGGACATTCAAGGTGTTGGTGCATCACCCTACAGCAGATGCCTTGACAGCGGCGTTATAGGGAAACTCGGCTTATGTTGACGTAGCATCAAGTGGCGCATCTTGCAGATGCTCCGCGGTGACCGGCACGTGCACATTTGGAAGATGTGAAACGGGTTTAAGTCGTCTGCGTGGTGCGCTGTCGATTCAGTGTTGCAACATTTGGGCGCCCAAATAATTTATGCAAACATGCTAATGCCGACCGGGCATCTCCTCAAACCATTGAAGCGTGTATAAGTAGAGGCAGGTTTTCGCGGCCCGGTCCGCGCCCGTGCGTGGTACACAAACCAGCGGCTGGTGGCGTCGTGCTGACCCAGCCCCGGCCGTGGGCCGCTTGGTCTTAACACGCCAGGCGAAACGAGCGAGGTGTACGTGCTGCCACTCGAACTCGGCCCTACCCGAACGACGGGAACGCTGAACAACGGCAGCGTCAGCATTTTAAACGGCCGCCCGTAATTGTTTTGAGCGGGCCATTCTAGAAACGTGAAAAACAGTAGCATGTTGATGCATGGGAGGGTGGCGACAAACTCGCGTTCGCATTTAGTTACAGATTCGCAGGTCCTCTCTTCAATTTCCTTTAAGTATCACATCTAGAAATCGGCCCGTTAATTCAGCATGTGTTTTTTACTTACATTATGTGCTAACTGCGTCACAGGAGGTTCATTGAGTTTAGACATAAGAATGGGCGGGACTGCTCCAATTTCGCCCTCTGATGAGATTTGAACAGTGCATTGAATTAGGACCCTTTCTTTTAACCTAAATTAAGCACATTACTCCCTTGAGAATGGTACACCCCGTGATGTGATTTCGTACGCCATCATGTATCTTGATCACACTGGTGGGGCTCCGCTACAGAACTTTACGGGCTTTCGGAGGCCGTATATCAAACACGATTAATGCAGTATTGCTATAAAAATATATCACGTTTGCAGGCGATGTCGTCCCTCATGTAAGAATGAAAGGGTGGCATGATGTTGGTGCCACCCAAAGGGCTGTTAACGTTACGCGCAATAGACACATCGCCAATGAGTGCTACTTGCGTTACCAAAGGTGATTAAAGTGGCAGTCAGCAACAAAGACATAATACGAATAAAATCAGGATAAGATCAGGGCTCATAGCACAAATGGTGTATTGAGTTCAACCGTTCCCACGGACCAAACGTTGCATCCTTTGTTACAAGGGCCATGTGCACGCAGCCGTAAGTCAGCAAATGGAACAGCAGGTCACTGGAACTATCTCGTGTTCGACCACGTCTGAGAAGTGGTGCAGCAACCATCTATCTTTTTGCTGCCCTCAAAGATACATTTGAAGCATGGGCATTTAAACATCTCATTTCCTTCAATCGGTAAGCGTGTATACTTACGCTCTGGGCCTGTATCTATCCGTTATCTGTTGCCGGCCGGACCCGCAACGACCCGTTACCTGTCGCCGGCCGGACCCGTAACGACCCGTCACCTGTTGCCGGCCAGACCCATAACGACCAGCTACCTGTTGCCGGCCGGACCCGTAACGACCCGTTACCTGTTGCCGGCCGGACCCGTAACGACCCGTAACCCGTCGCCGGCCGGACCCGTAACGACTCGTTGCCTGTTGCCGGCCGGACCCGTAACGACCCGTTACCTGTTGCCGGTCGAGTCCGTAACTACTCGTTGTCTGTTGCCGGCTGGACCCGTAACGGCCCGTTACCCGTTGCCGGCTGAGTCCGTAACGACCCATTGCCTGTTGCCGACCGGACCCGTAACGACCCGTTACCTGTTGCCGGCCGGTCAAGACTAAAAGGGGTCAGACCGATGACAGACAGAAGAGGCCGCACTCTGACAAGGGAGCGTATTGTCCTCTACCGTCGAAACAAGACAAATATGGAAACGTCAACATCGAGCATCAAGTCAAAGGTAAGATCACAAGCAACAGCGAAGATGATGTGAGCCGCAGATCGAGTTCAGTCAAAAGAGCTTACGCAACCAAAGATCAAGGGGTGATGCAAAATCGCATACCCAAGCCGGAAAATGTCAAAAACAGCAAGGCCATGTCTAACCACTTTACGACAAGTGATCCTGAGCGGTAAACAACTGTCCTTCATCAGTAAGCAGTACTGGGCACCTGACTGAACTTCGCAACCTCAAGCGGGCGGAGAGAACAGGCTTAGACATCATAGCTCCTATGGAAGTGATTGCAATGCGGATCGGGAATAGGGAAGGAAAAGGGACATGAGCTACACATGAAAGCCAAGCAAACATTGAAAAAAGCCGAACCGCCAATATCAAATGTGACCAACAAAGAACAATCAATCACCAAAAAGCTAAAAAAACAACGACAATATCATCATGCTCCCAGCTGGCAAAGTCAACAACCAAGGTCGTCATGAATAAAGAGGAGTACACTCGCCAGCTGCACAATTAAGTGAATCATTGCACATACAGAAAACTCAGAGGAAAGATCCTACACCAGCATATGAATACAAACTGACCAGTATCGTCCAAAAAAAACCCTGACAGATGCCCAATACAGGCATCCAAATAAACATAAAAGCAAACTGTCACGCACGCACGGAGTAACCAAGACAAAGGTCAACAAGTTCAGCATATCCTAAGAGTCTTCGTCAGCTGCGGGGATCAGCTTGCCATCTGCTGGGCCGGCCTCAGATTAATACGCTAGCCTTTGAAGTGCGAGTTCATCATCCTTAAAGAACTCAGCCCACTTCGTCTCATTAATGCAAGACATGTGCCAAAGCACAGCGGGGAATGGCCGTAAGATTATCTCTATCACCGATGATTGTCACGATGTGCACGAAACTTTTCCAAAGCGCGGTGATGTCAACTGCACCACTCAAGCCATCGGTATGACTGTGATGCGTCGATGACTTATTCGTTTCCTGACAACATCAGAAAAATGTATCTACCTGCATCGACCAAATCAACAGCTTGCGACCATTCGTCCAGTCTACTAGGGAGCGGGAGGACAACAACAAGCCACTGTTCATAGACGTGCAAGTCGATCAAACTGACAACAGGCTCAAGACGTCGGTGCTTTTCTAAGCAATCCCACCAACAGCAACCGATCGCAGTCCGAGCTTCCGGTCACACCACTCGGACACCGTCGTGAAAGGCATGGTATGATGCCTTCAACATCGCGCAAATACCATCAGCCAATACAACCAGGAAGAGAGACACAGACTGCGTAACTGAAGACATTGAGGCCACCACATTGTCTCTGCCAGGTAAATGGGCTCTCAGGCCGGACCGAGACGAAGCCGACTGTTCGGTACTATTGGTGCTTGGCCGACATAGACGCCCTCATCGATTCAAGGGCCCCAAATCGGCGAGAAGGGCCCCCTGACCCGCATTTGAAGCACTAAGCCTCGCATGAGATTATGGAGATATTATAGCATAGTCCATTAAGGGACCCGGTCCTGCCGGCCGGGCCCCTCGATGCGACCTCCGGCCAGCCCCTCGAGCCCTCAAACCGGTTCCATGTCATTAGTGCTTCAACAAGAACTCTTACTGACGGGGGTGCAACGACAATCTCTGTCGCATATACTTATACACGATATGGGTGTTACGCGACAAAACTTATACTGCAATAACTGATACTCATTTTTTCTTTTACTGCAAACATACAGACATCTCTTATAGATGACATTACTTCTGCTGTAAAAACTTATATGCGGTATTAGTGCTACACGACAAAACGTTAACTTGAAACATACTACTCTTACTTCCACTGCAAATGCTTACACGCGACATAAGTGCTACAACAAAGGCTTGTGGTCAAGCCTTTGCTATAGATGCAATGAGTGATGTATCTTTTTTCAGTGTAGGTTTTGTCATGTAGTACTCATGTCGTCTTTGATATTTTGCAAAAGTAATGACGTGTGTAAGTGAAAACTGTATATCTTTGCTGCATAAGTAATGACGTGTATAAGCCCTTTAAGTGTAATTGTTGCCATGTAGCAAGTGTAGCAGTGTAGTAAGTGTAGCAAGTGTGTCGTGTATAAAATTTGACACGTAAATTGTACCCTGCAGCACTCGTCGTGTATACATCTTTGCAGCAGCAGTAATGTCGCATTCAAGTAAAGTTTGAATCAGTGTTTGCAGTAGAAGTAATGCTGCGTATAACTGATGCAGCAGCACTCTCGTTGTTTGGAGAGTAGCGCTGATGTCGTGATGCCTCTCAAATGGGGTCCTTAATCGCCGCTCCCAAGGATGTTAACAAGCGCTTGGGTGAGGGTCAAATTGATCCCCAAACGGTTTTTCCAGAATGGTTTCCGAATGATGCGGGGTGCCGCGCCAAATTTGGCATGACTATAGACAATCAAATAGGGCATCGTTTGACATATACCTTGTAGGACCGCTGAGCTATGGCAGGTCAAAGTCAGGCCATGGTTTCAGCAAAGTCACTTTCTAGGGAGTTGTTCAATCTGATGCAATAACGGAGTGTTAAACAAAGCCATAGATCTCCGAAATGATTTTTTTTAGGTAACAAAAATATTGAATGAGCAAATTACGTTGACCTAAGGTCATGTATGACGGTCAGACCAAGGTCAAAACCAACCTGTTTTTTATTACTCTAGGGCTTGTTGTATGGAATACATTCTGGTGCTCATTTATAATTTATTGATAGCAGGAACAACAGTATGCCTCCTCTATGGACTTTTTAGAGGTCAGAATAGGTCGTCGACCTAAAATGACCCAGGTCAACATTTTGTTTTTAGAAACATGCTGCCCAGCGTAATCTTTGT